CACCCACCTCACCAAGAACACCTTGACAGTGGAGGACGGGAAGCTGGCTCACCTGGGGCCCAACTGAGATGGGGATCTGGAGCCTCCAGGGCCCCAGCATCATGCCCTTCAACGTGGCTGCTAGCTGGGAGACTGGAGGAAGACCCCCTGACTGTAGTCCACAGCCCTGCCCCCTCGCCCAGCTGCAGGGACATTCACCCTGGGGCACTTCTATTTGTCCTGCCCTTGACCGGCCTCCTTTGCTTCTGTGAATTTAGGGGAAGGTAGATGGTTCTGTAGAAATACAAGAGGGGAGAAATCCTAAAGAAGAAAAAAGCAGGGACTGTGGCAACTAAATAAATAAACAAACTAGTGGTTTATTCAAAGGGAGTCCTGGGGGTGGGGGTGTCAAAAGATTAAGCTTGACTTCTACGCAAAGGTGTCTCAGAAGACAGGCTTGGTGAGCTACAGCTGAAAAATCAATCATTATAAAAACACAGACTACGTCACTCCCATCAGAACGTCAAATATCAAAAAATAAAGCAATAGCTATTAGTGAGGTTGGGGAAAAATTGGAGTCCTCATCCATGCTGGGGGTTGTTGTTGTTGTTGTTGTTGTGTATTCTTGAGTGGGAACGGACCCATAGCTGGCACTTCAGCAGGTTTCTAGAGGCTGTTAACTTCACAGGACGAGAATGGCCATCTTGGTCCCCTTGGAACAGCTGGTAGATTCGAACTGTGTGCCTTTGGCTTGGAAGTACAACACCTTATCACTAAACTACCAGAGCTCTTTATCTGTGCTGGTAGGAAGGCAAAGTGCATCTATAGTTTGAATGTTCTTCAGAAAGTTGAGCAGGGGTCTGCTGTGTGAGCCAGCAACCTACTGGGGTGTCATCAATAAGTCAGTTCCAACTTGACAGCACACAACAACAACATACCTATCTGAGCATTCATCAAATAGGACTCTTTGTTAAATGTAAGCACAATGGCTAGTCCCCCACAAAAACCAAACAAGTTCATTAACATCATCACTGATCCCTGGTGATACAGAGATTAAAATGCTCTTCTGTCATCCAAAAACTCAGGAGTTCAAAACTACCAGCTACTTCACAGAAGATGCCAACCGATTCCATAAATATCCACAGCCCTGGATGGGGCACTTCTACTCTGTCCGGCAGATCAAATGACTTGATATGAGTTGATACGGGTTGATCTAATCGGTAGCAGTGGGTTTGGTTTGTAATGTTGGTTTAGTAACATTAAGTATGGGGCTCTGGTGGTATAGTTTGTAGGGAGTTGCTCTAATAACCAGAGGGTAGTGTGGCTTCAACAGTTCGAATCCACCAGCAGCTTTGAGGGAGAAAGATGGGCAATCACCTACCGTTGCGATTTATACCTAAAGTCCTGGTGGAAGGTCCCTACGACTCAGAGCCAGCTCGATAGCAGTGAGTGCATGGGTGAGCGTGTACCTGGGCACTTGAATGCACGCACATGTGATCAAGCATTCTCCTTCCCTCTGTCTCATAAATATCACATGCTTTATTTAAAAAAAATACTTTGTTCAGGGATTCAAAAATGTTCCCCACAGCCTCAGAAACCTGGTTCAGGGTTACCATGTATCAGAATAGACTTGATTTGATGACAAAGAGTCTGGATTTGGGTTTTATGGAACTAAATTTTATGAAAAGTGATACAAAGATTATACACTTTTCTCATTGTAAACAAAGACTTGAAGCATTTACTGATGATCTTAAAAGGCTGTAGACTTCAGAATGAATTGTTGTTGTTGTTGTTGTTGTTGTTGTTGTTGTTGTTGTTATTAAGTGCCGTCGAGTCGCAGGCGACTCATAACGACCCTATGAAGGAGAGTCCTTGACGCTTCTGTGCCTTTCATCCTCTCTCCAAGTTCATAGGGTTTCTGGAGGCAAGCTATTACGGAAGTGGACGCCACTCCTCCTTCCACGCTTGTTCAATCGGGGAGCTCCACCCCACTCTCAGTCCGCATTGGGTAGCCAACCATTAACGCATTTGCCACACCAGTGTCACGGTGTTCAGCCTCACAGCAACCACAAGTGCGGGACGGCAACTTGTATACCAGGGCTATACGACCTAGAGGAATGTCTTTGTCTTGGTCAGTATGAATTATAGGGATTATACTTTATAAAACAAGACTCCTCATAAGTGGACCAATAAACACCATTGTGATAAAAAGGAAAAAAATATTGAAATCGTCAAGGATCTCATTTTATTTGGATCCACCATAAATAGACATAAGAAGCCAAGAAATCAAATAACCTATTGCAATGGGCAAATCTGATGCAAAGGACCTCTATTTTTTTAATAAAATTTTTGTTTTATATTGGTTTAAAAAAAATCCCCACAATCAAAATATAAAGTTCTAGGAAATACTGAGTTGAAACAAAACTTGGGACTAAACCAAGCTTCTCTATCCTAACCCTGTTTTATTAGCCTACTGTGATGGAATTGCTTTTGGGTGCCGTTGAGCCAACTATGTCTCAGGGCGACTCTATATGTCTCAGGGCGACTCTATGAACAATGGCTGCGAACCTGCCCTCCGCTGTGCCGTTCTCACTGTCCCTGACATTCTCGAGCCCGCTGTTAGAGTCTGAGGGTGGATCCATCCTGTAGGGAGTCTTCCTTTGTTTTGCTGACCCTCGTCCTCTCCTAGCTTGATGTCCTCTTGGAACAACTAGCCCCTCTTAACAACATGCCTAAAGTATTTGAGAAAAAAATTTATCTGTCCTTGTCTCCAAGGAGAATCCTGGATGCACTTTTCTCCTATGGAGAAACTTTCAAAGGTCTTGTCGGTGATTTGACAGCATTTTCCATAGCCCAGACCTCCAGCCTCATAGCCAGGAGCCTTGGCAAAGCAGGGTTGGCTGATGAGGGCTATTTCCTTTACTGGGGTCTTTTCTGGGGGTAAAAGCCAGTCACTTTGAAGAGCCCTGGGAAACCTCCTTCAGTTAGAGGATCAGCCACCAGAGGGCTCCCGAGGAGCTCAGAGAACTGCTGCCTTATCCAAAGGGCAACCTGGTGAAGTTGCTTAGAGAAATAGCTCTTAGAGAGAGAGTGACTGGGCTGCCAGCCCTAGTCCCCAGCCTTGGGCAGTCTTCTATGGGAATGACTTTTCTTTGTTTCCTAAGGAACAAAATAAGTGTGATTCATGTCTGAAGTCAACTTCTTTCTTTTTTTGAGTTGCAAAATAAGCCAGCCAGCCAGCAGGCAGAGATGGGGGACCAGAGACGCCAAGTTTTATGAAGCTGCCCCACGTGCAGAAACTCAGAAGAGACAGGGATTCTCCTCAAAAACCGACCCAAGAGAAAGCCTTCTGCTAGAGTCAGTGCCCTGAATTCTGACTCCTGGACTCCTAAAATATTTTCAAAGGTTTTGTATGCTGGTGAAAGTTAAACAATAAGGAAAATGGAAGAAGACTCGATGTCTTCAAAATATGAGGTGAGTGAAAAATACTTCATCTACCAGGGACTGTCAAACCTGTCCGGGAATAAGCACAGCAGGGTGCTCCTTGGAGGCAGGGATGGTGGGACTTCGCCTCACATACTTTGGGCCAGTCCCTCGAAAGGGGCATCAGGCTTGGGAAAGGGGAGGGTCAGCCAAGGAGAGCCGGCCTTCCATGAGATGAACGGATGCAATGACTGCAATAAAGGGCGTGGGCGCAGTGGAGACTTTGAAGATGGTCCAGGCTGAGGCAGCACTGCCTTCCGTGACACAGAGCGTCACTATGAGTTAGAATAGCTCGATGGCACTCAACAACAACCACACAAACTGAGAAGATATAGTTCTTTTTGAGAAGTCACCCACTTGTGGTATTTCTACTCTAGTAGTGCTTGCTAGCCAAGACAGGAGACATCAAGGAGCCAGGTCTGGTAGCCACAAGGTCTGGCTGACCAGAACACGATTAGCCCTCACGCTGTCCTAAAGTTTTCAGTAGTCACTTTGGGTCACCTTGATTGTCAGTAAATACTTTGAGTATAGTAGGTCATGTTATTGTTGTTGTTGTAGTGTACAGCTGAATCAAAACTAACTCAAAGCTGATAGCCCCCCAGTTTCAGAGGGAGTCAATTGCAATAGCAATAAATTTCAGAGGCAGGAGATTGCCCATCTCTCTCCCATGGAGTAGCTGGTGGATTTGAACCATGTGCCTTTGGGTTGGCAGCACAACTCTTTACCACTTTTAGGTGATGTTAGGCGTACGTGAGTGTAGATGGGTGAGGTGCAGTTACAGCCCCAGAAGAGAACCCAAGGTTGGGAATCTGGGCACTTGGACTGTCCATGTGAGAGACACAGGATGGTTGATCGGCTTTGAAAGTTTCTCCACAATGCTAGGACTTTTAGGTGGAAAATGAGGGATCTGGTCCAGAAGCCAGTCCTGAAGATCTGCTCCTCCACTGTTGGGAGTTGTGTGTGTGGTCTGTAGAAAAGAGAGCCTGAACATCTCCAGTGACAAACCACCAACCGTGGCTTCTGCACGCAGGTGGACCATGTTACCCCAAGGCTCCAGGGTCAAGTTACCACAGAGGCATCACAATACCATGGAAACAAGGGGAAAGTACTTTATGGAAAAGCAAATTTACCAACAAAAGGGAACATTATATCCTAGGGGTAACCTAGTTTCCAGCCCCAAACTATATTAAATATACTGCATTTTAATGTCCTCTATGATCATTCATAGATAAAGTCAAACACAGAACAAGACAAACAGCTCAGACTATTTTTGCAACAGAGAATACAACCGAGGTTAATTACTATGCTAAGAAAGAAAAAATATATACATGTTATATATCATCTCAGGACTCCTTAATATAAAACTCTCCAAGCTCTGGTATCTCTTACCACATAGAATGTGTATACAATAAACTTCTCTGTCAAAACCAGACTCCAACCCTTTCAGGAACACAGCGGTCATTTCAGAAACGAGGCCACCCAGGCTGCTTCCATCACCACAAGCTCAGGGCCACCATTCTTAGGGGCAAGGCCACCACTCACGGCCCTGTGAGCACTGGTCCCAGGAGACTCCGCTTCAGCTCTAGACACGGTTTCTCAATGAACAGCGTCAGGGCCAGCCCGGCGATGAAGGTCAGTAAACAGTGTCCACAGAAGAGATAGAACTGGGGAGAGAGAGGCAGAGGGGGCATGTGTTTGCCTCAAGATGCATTTGGTTTTGTGGCATCCTGACCATACCTGAAGGGGTTCAATGTACCAACAGCCCCCCCCATAAACAATGAGGCACTGCCTGAAGCTGAAGCCATTATCTTTTATCCCTCCTGACAGACCTGGACAACAAGATGACTTAACATGAAAGGAGTGCTGATCTGCTTTGTTTCTCAAAACGAGAACCAATGCAGGCACTGGCTGAAAATCGCCTGTGACTTCATCCTTAGCCACTGGTGAGAGTCAGCGCCCAGAGCCATCAGGGGCTTTAAGCTCGTTGCCCACTGCTGGTGTGGACCGCTGAAACCCAGGCCCCGACAGGCACCTGGGT